CTGTGTGGGCTACTCACATTGCCAGACCCTGTGCCGGGAGAAAGCAGCTGCCATCAGGTTGCATGTGGACATGGGGAGTAGGTGGAGCCTTGGGTGAACTGGCTGGCATGGAGGGCAAAGTAAGCTGAACAAGGAGAAGGGCTTGCCTCCCTCATGAATCAAGGGTCCAACTAGGACAGTGGTTCTCAACCTATTTACCATTATTTATGCATATGCAGCCCCCAACGTGTTATGTGAGCTGCATCCAATGCTTCCAGGATGGCCCTGAGAATGTCACATAGACCACAGCTCTGTGCAGATTGGGCCGCAAGCAGTCCGCAGGCCATAGGTTGAGAACCACTGAACTAGGGACTGCCATATTTTGGTCCCTGCCTTATTTCTGGGGCAGCACAGCTAGGCACTTTCTCTTACTTGGGCTGCATTGCAATCTAGCCTATATGAGCCATTCCTATTCTTTTCCATAGCAACCTCACGCCAGCATACTTCCATCTGCCTATAGAGAAATCGCTCTGCAGATCCGTGTGGCTAGTTAGTAAAAAATCAGAAAAGTAGCAATACCAAAAACAGCTATGGTGATAAAATATAGTAAAAAAGAGAACTCTCTCAAATAAGCAAGCAAAGGGATGACAACTTCAGGGGAAATAGAGAAATTGGATATATCTACAGTTCCTCAAATATCACATCCGTGAGGCAGGAAGTGTCTATAACTGGGATTTTTCTTTACTCACTTTGTTAGAGCTTTTATTCCATTGTTGCCTAAGCTTAAAAGTTCATATTTACATTTTACATGGGGCTCAAGCTTTGTTTACAAAGCCAGCAGCCTCAATCTGAGCGCCGTGAAAGGTGAAGAGAAATGCGAGGCAGTTTGGAGCTGAATACTGAAACTACCGAACACCAAGAGCTGGAGTCTGACCTAAAGGATAGCCTGCCAAAGTTGCTGGGGTTCAAATGCTCACTGAAAGAAGATGACGAGGAACAGTCAGACTTAGCTTGCAAATGGATATTTACTGCTGTCTTCTCAGCAAGTTGATCCATCTCAAATGTGCTTTCTAGCTTAACTCGAGAAAAGAGATCTGCTCTGTCATTTTTAAACTAAAATAATGAAAACTTCTTCCTCCTTTGAAATCCTCATTAACATGCATTAGATCAATTTCCAACACAGTAGCAGTGCTGACATTTTTAGATTTTTGTGATTCCGAACGTCAAACTCAGACAGAAGCGAAAACCCCATTGAGATGATTGTTTGGAGAACATTCTTAAAGAAAACAGAAAAGAAAAACAAGAGAGAGAGTGAGACTGACTGGAATGTTGATAAAGCAACCAGATCTTTACAGGAGGAAGAGAGATTACAAAGGATGGAGAAAGGAAGGCTCTTTAAAACCATGCAGCCAGTTGCAGTTTCTCCCTGGTGAATTTCCGATGAGATAATCTCATTCTGCCTGAGTCAGGTAAACTAAAAGTGTGAAACTCTCAAGAGGCACAGAGGCTGGAAAATCAGAGACACATTTCTCACCCTAATGGTCTTATTTGCTGGACCTTTACATGCCCCTTTGTACTAAACGAGGAGTGTTGGGTCAGAGCAAGTATCGTTCGCCACAAATCACAACCATTCACCCTTGTTTTTAAGAGCACTGAATCAAGCCGATGCAAATTCCTTTTAACGTGTGTGGATGCTGGCACAAATCAGTCACCCGTGTAGCGGGCATTCCAAATACGGGTCTCACACAAAGAATACAAACACGTCCATTACTGCCAAGTTTTTAGGTCATCAGTGTTGAAAACGAGCCTTTTCTAGTTAGTCATTAATAAAGAAAAAGAAATGGTAATGGAATCAACTGTGATTCCATGGCTGTTTAAAATATATTCCTGTCAAAGCATTATATTTTGATTCTCCCATCCAATTAAGCCGAGGCCAGGAATCTCACAGGGCATTCTGATGAAGGACATTGAATATGAACTTCATTTTAGGACACTGCAGATATGAACGAATATAAGAGTCCTGACATTTTAGGATTCAACATGGTTTTGCCCAATCCTGACTTGAGCAAAATCTTGCTTGGAATTTTCACCTAGTCGGGACTGAATAAGCACTCTGAGGGTATGTCTACACTACGGAATAAGGTCGAATTTATAGAAGTCGGTTTTTTAGAAATCGGTTTTATATATTCGAGTGTGTGTGTCCCCACAGAAAATGCTCTAAGTGCATTAAGTGCATTAACTCGGCGGAGCGCTTCCACAGTACCGAGGCTAGAGTCGACTTCCGGAGCGTTGCACTGTGGGTAGCTATCCCACAGTTCCCGCAGTCTCCGCTGCCCATTAGAATTCTGGGTTGAGATCCCAATGCCTGATGGGGCTAAAACATTGTCGCGGGTGGTTCTGGGTACATATCGTCAGGCCCCCCGTTCCCTCCCTCCCTCCGTGAAAGCAAGGGCAGACAATCATTTCGCGCCTTTTTTCCTGAGTTACCTGTGCAGACGCCATACCATGGCAAGCATGGAGCCCACTCAGGTAACCGTCACCCTATGTCTCCTGGGTGCTGGCAGATGTGGTACGGCTTTGCTGCACAGTAGCAGCAACCCATTGCCTTCTGGCAGCAGACGGTGCAATACGATTGGTAGTCGTCCTCGTCGTGTCCGAGGTGCTCCTGGCCACGTCGGCTGGGAGCGCCTGGGCAGACATGGGCGCAGGGACTAAATTTGGAGTGACTTGACCAGGTCATTCTCTTTAGTCCTGCAGTCAGTCCTATTGAACCATCTTATGGTGAGCGGGCAGGCGATACGGACTGCTAGCAGTCGTACTGTACCATCTTCTGCCAGGCAGGCAAGAGATGAGGATTGCTAGTAGTCGTATTGTACCATCTTCTGCCAGGCAGGCAAGAGATGAGGATGGCTAGCAGTCGTACTGTACCATCTTCTGCCGAGCAGCCATGAGATGTGGATGGCATGCAGTCCTTCTGCACCGTCTGCTGCCAGCCAAAGATGTAAAAGATAGATGGAGTGGGTTAAAACAAGAAATAGACCAGATTTGTTTTGTACTCATTTGCCTCCTCCCCTGTCTAGGGGACTCATTCCTCTAGGTCACACTGCAGTCACTCACAGAGAAGGTGCAGCGAGGTAAATCTAGTCATGTATCAATCAGAGGCCAGGCTAACCTCCTTGTTCCAATAAGAACGATAACTTAGGTGCACCATTTCTTATTGGAACCCTCCGTGAAGTCCTGCCTGAAATACTCCTTGATGTAAAGACACCCCCTTTGTTGATTTTAGCTCCCTGAAGCCAACCCTGTAAGCCGTGTCGTCAGTCGCCCCTCCCTCCGTCAGAGCAACGGCAGACAATCGTTCCGCGCCTTTTTTCTGTGCGGACGCCATACCAAGGCAAGCATGGAGGCCGCTCAGCTCACTTTGGCAATTAGGAGCACATTAAACACCACACGCATTATCCAGCAGTATATGCAGCACCAGAACCTGGCAAAGCGATACCGGGCGAGGAGGCGACGTCACGTGAGTGATCAGGACATGGACACAGATTTCTCTGAAAGCATGGGCCCTGCCAATGCATGCATCATGGTGCTAATGGGGCAGGTTCATGCTGTGGAACGCCGATTCTGGGCTCGGGAAACAAGCACAGACTGGTGGGACCGCATAGTGTTGCAGGTCTGGGACGATTCCCAGTGGCTGCGAAACTTTCGCATGCGTAAGGGCACTTTCATGGAACTTTGTGACTTGCTTTCCCCTGCCCTGAGGCGCATGAATACCAAGATGAGAGCAGCCCTCACAGTTGAGAAGCGAGTGGCGATAGCCCTGTGGAAGCTTGCAACGCCAGACAGCTACCGGTCAGTTGGGAATCAATTTGGAGTGGGCAAATCTATTGTGGGGGCTGCTGTGATGCAAGTAGCCCACGCAATCAAAGATCTGCTGATATCAAGGGTAGTGACCCTGGGAAATGTGCAGGTCATAGTGGATGGCTTTGCTGCAATGGGATTCCCTAACTGTGGTGGGGCTATAGACGGAACCCATATCCCTATCTTGGCACCGGAGCACCTAGCCGCCGAGTACATAAACCGCAAGGGGTACTTTTCGATAGTGCTGCAAGCTCTGGTGGATCACAAGGGACGTTTCACCAACATCAACGTGGGATGGCCGGGAAAGGTGCATGATGCTCGCATCTTCAGGAACTCTGGTCTGTTTCAAAAGCTGCAGGAAGGGACTTTATTCCCAGACCAGAAAATAACTGTTGGGGATGTTGAAATGCCCATATGTATCCTTGGGGACCCAGCCTACCCCTTAATGCCATGGCTCATGAAGCCGTACACAGGCAGCCTGGACAGTAGTCAGGAGCTGTTCAACTACAGGCTGAGCAAGTGCAGAATGGTGGTAGAATGTGCATTTGGACATTTAAAAGCGCGCTGGCGCAGTTTACTGACTCGCTTAGACCTCAGCGAAACCAATATTCCCACTGTTATTACTGCTTGCTGTGTGCTCCACAATATCTGTGAGAGTAAGGGGGAGACGTTTATGGCGGGGTGGGAGGTTGAGGCAAATCGCCTGGCTGCTGGTTACGCGCAGCCAGACACCAGGGCGGTTAGAAGAGCACAGGAGGGCGCGGTACGCATCAGAGAAGCTTTGAAAACCAGTTTCATGACTGGCCAGGCTACGGTGTGAAAGTTCTGTTTGTTTCTCCTTGATGAAACCCCCGCCCCTTGGTTCACTCTACTTCCCTGTAAGCTAACCACCCGCCCCTCCTCCCTTCAATCACCGCTTGCAGAGGCAATAAAGTCATTGTTGCTTCACATTCATGCATTCTTTATTCATTCATCACACAAATAGGGGGATGACTACCAAGGTAGCCCAGGAGGGGTGGTGGAGGAGGGAAGGAAAATGCCACACAGCACTTTAAGCACAGCACTTTAAAAGTTTACAACTTTAAAATTTATTGAATGACAGCCTTCTTTTTTGGGGGCAATCCTCTGTGGTAGAGTGGCTGGTTGGCCGGAGGCCCCCCTCACCGCGTTCTTGGGCGTCTGGGTGTGGAGGCTATGGAACTTGGGGAGGAGGGCGGTTGGTTACAGAGGGGCTGCAGTGGCAGTCTGTGCTCCAGCTGCCTTTGCTGCAGCTCAACCATACACTGGAGCATACTGGTTTGGTCCTGCAGCAGCCTCAGCATTGAATCCTGCCTCCTCTCATCACGCTGCCGCCACATTTGAGCTTCATCCCTGTCTTCAGCCCGCCACTTACTCTCTTCAGCCCGCCACTTACTCTCTTCAGCCCGCCACCTCTCCTCCCGGTCATTTTGTGCTTTCCTGCACTCTGACATTATTTGCCTCCACGCATTCGTCTGTGCTCTGTCAGTGTGGGAGGACAGCATGAGCTCGGAGAACATTTCATTGCGAGTGCGTTTTTTTTTCTTTCTAAGCTTCACTAGCCTCTGGGAAGGAGAAGATCCTGTGATCATTGAAACACATGCAGCTGGTGGAGAAAAAAAAAGGGACAGCGGTATTTAAAAAGACACATTTTATAAAACAGTGGCTACACTCTTTCAGGGTAAACCTTGCTGTTAACATTACATACATAGCACATGTGCTTTTGTTACAAGGTCGCATTTTGCCTCCTCCCACCGCGTGACTACCCCCTCAACCTTCCCCCCTCCCTGTGGCTAACAGCGGGGAACATTTCTGTTTAGCCACAGGCAAACAGCCCAGCAGGAATGGGCTCCTCTGAGTGTCCCCTGAAGAAAAGCACTCTATTTCAACCAGGTGACCATGAATTATATCTCACTCTCCTGAGGATAACACAGAGAGATAAAGAACAGATGTTGTTTGAATGCCAGCAAACATACACTGCAATGCTTTGTTGTACAATGATTCCCGAGTACGTGTTACTGGCCTGGAGTGGTAAAGTGTCCTACCATGAAGGACACAATAAGGCTGCCCTCCCCAGAAACCTTTTGCAAAGGCTTTAGGACTACATCTAGGAGAACCGCAAATGCCAGGGCAAAGTAATCCTTTCACATGCTTGCTTTTAAACCATGTATAGTATTTTAAAAGGTACACTCACCAGAGGTCCCTTCTCCGCCTGCTGGGTCCAGGAGGCAGCCTTGGGTGGGTTCGGGGGATACTGGCTCCAGGTCTAGGGTGAGAAACAGTTCCTGGCTGTCGGGAAAACCGGTTTCTCCGCTTGCTTGCTGTGAGCTATCTACAACCTCCTCCTCATCATCATCTTCTTCGTCCCCAAAACCTGCTTCCGTATTGCCTCCATCTCCATTGAAGGAGTCAAACAACACGGCTGGGGTAGTGGTGGCTGAACCCCCTAAAATGGCATGCAGCTCATCATAGAAGCGGCATGTTTGGGGCTCTGACCCAGAGCGGCTGTTCGCCTCTCTGGTTTTCTGGTAGGCTTGCCTCAGCTCCTTCAGTTTCACGCGGCACTGCTTCGGTTCCCTGTTATGGCCTCTGTCCTTCATGCCCTGGGAGATTTTCACAAAGGTTTTGGCATTTCGAAAACTGGAATGGAGTTCTGATAGCACGGATTCCTCTCCCCAAACAGCGATCAGATCCCGTACCTCCCGTTCGGTCCATGCTGGAGCTCTTTTGCGATTCTGGGACTCCATCATGGTCACCTGTGCTGATGAGCTCTGCATGGTCACCTGCAGCTTGCCACGCTGGCCAAACAGGAAATGAGATTCAAAAGTTTGCGGTTCTTTTCCTGTCTACCTGGCCAGTGCATCTGAGTTGAGAGTGCTGTCCAGAGCGGTCATAATGGAGCACTCTGGGATAGCTCCCGGAGGCCATACCATCGAATTGTGTCCACAGTACCCCAAATTCGAGCCGGCAACGTCGATTTAAGCGCTAATCCACTTGTCAGGGGTGGAGTAAGGAAATCGATTTTAAGAGCCCTTTAAGTCGAAATAAAGGGCTTCATTGTGTGGACGGGTGCAGGTTTACATCGATTTAACGCTGCTAAATTCGACCTAAAGTCCTAGTGTAGACCAGGGCTGAGACAGACTTTTAAACGTATCTAGGCCCCTGACTCCCAGATGGTTAGGCACTTCTAAAAATCCCACTAGGCACCTAGCTGCATCTTTGGGCATCTAAATACCCATAAAATCTGGCCCTTTAGGTTCTAGCTGATTGAGCTGGTGAATATCAACATGGACCAGTGATGACGGTAACACGGAGTTACACAAGCCAAGTCTCTAGGTTTTAAAGCAACACTGGAAGTGTTTTGCATTTTGCCATTGAGCTGTGGAATTGGAGGACACACATGCAGGACTAAAACATGATTCTGCCCAAGTTTGTTTGAAAAAAAGCCAAATTATCAAACACATGTAGGTAAAAAAAAAAATCATTGCAACAGTCTCCTTTTCCCCCCTCTCTCCTTACAGCAGCTATTGATAACATAAGAAGAAACAACAAGGCTTATAATCCTTCCCCTTCCCTCACTCATGTTCTAGTGACACTCTGTTATTTAAGGTGTGGGACCTGCCAAGCTAGCTTCAGATGATTCTTTGTAATACTGACTGTCACGAGCTGAAGGGATCCATTGACTGGAAACCACAACTTGGTGGAATTTAGCTTTCTGTGCCATGAGAGTCTGTCTAGAATCATCTTTGTACAGGCCTGAAAAATAAAAGCAATAAAAAGTGGGATGGGAAGAAGGCAATTTTCAAGTCTTTTTGGCTTTCAGAAAATGCCAAATCCCCTGATTTACAGTTTTAACTTGGAGTTCTAGAAGCTCTCCCTTCAAATGCTAGGTAGCGTTATCCTAGTGGCATCATCCAGCTGTGCTCTATGGTAGAAACTGAGGCTATGGCTACACTGCAGATTGTAGTGCAGATGGTCTAAGCCAATGGGAGAGAGGTCTCCCATTGAGTTAATTATTCCAACCCCCACAAGCGGCAGTAGCTATATCGGCGGGAGAAACTCTCCTGCCAACATAGCACTGTCCACACCGGAGCTTAGGTTTGTGTAACATGCATTGCTCAGTGGGGAGGCTTATTCAACCCTGAGCAATATAATTTATACCAATGTAAGCTGCAGTGTGTACATAGCCGCAGTAACGCAAGGTGCTCTTAGCTCGGTGAATACTACAGCTGGGAGAGCCTCGGTTTGCAAATCAGATTCTGTATCTGGGCACGTAAATACAAACGTAGACACCTCACTTTATCTTCCTATTTTAGAAAACTGGGTTTGTCCACAACAAAATAGACCATGTGCAGGTTGTCTTTGGGATGGCCAAACACGAAGTAAAGCAGCACTATAGCTTGGTAACATTTAACCCCGAGAGACCTTTCGTCTGCCTCTTCTCTGCTAGGTCAAAATTAAGAACTCACCCCCCAATGTTCTTCCTCCCCCTCCTTCACTGAATGAGCCCCATCTCTTACCCTCCTGCTCTCTCCATCTTCCTCACGCTCATGTCCCCTCCTGTGTCCCTAATCCTCCCCTGCCTTCTCCCTGACTGCCAGACCATGTAATCCCCTCCACACACAGAGTCTTGCTTCACTCCTGTTCTGCTGCTCCACAAGTCCCATGCCAGCTCGCCAGGGCCTCCAGCCTCACTGCCTCCTCCCTTCCTGGTTGATGAGGTAAAGAAGAGGATTTTTGGTACGGGTGAGGAAATCCACCCCACTGGTCTCACGTGAGGCAAGAATCCAGCCCCCTCCCTTCACAGCAGCTACTGGAGTTCCCAAACACCTTTAGGACCTGCCCAGTCTTCAAGATACGAAACCCCTGTGGCCATAAAGTCCCCTCCACTCCGAGGTGAACCTTGATGGTGCAACTTTCTCTGGCCAAGCAGCAGCAGGGTTATACCACCTCCCAGACACCATTCCACCTCCCATCCCTTGAACCTCAGGAAAGCCCTTTTGCTGGGTTTTGTGAAGAAGTGTTCCTACGGAGTTTTATGGGTAAAGTAGTAGAGGACAGAGCAGGGGAGGTTTCTGCAACACCATAGATATCAGCCTGCACAGAATTCCTAATGGGAATTATTGCTGCAGGAAGCTGCCAGGCATCTGCCAGAGGTCTCAACCAATAGTAACACCTGTTGGTGTCATTTTTTTCTTCCCTTGTTACATAATAATACAGTATGAGCCATGGTGCCTTTGAATCGCAGGCACAACATGCAAATCCCAAGGAAAGAAGAAATATGAATGTACTGGAAATATGGGATGGGATTCTAGCAGACACCAGTCTATCTACCAGCATCCTCTGTAGTATGTACCAATATCCCAGATGAGCATTTTCCATGTTAAATTAGCATCATGAAGCATGGCCTCAGACATCAAAAGAAAAGTCTAGGCTGTGATTTCCAGAAGAAGTGCCCAGTGTTGGCCTAACTCTGCTCCCATTGAAGTCAGCTAGTGACCAGATTTAGGCCAGTGCTGAGAGCTTTTGAAAAATTCAGCCTTATTCATGCCTACTCGAAACTTTCAGCTTCCTTCTCACTCGAACATTGTCATCAACCGTTATGTAGAGCTGATCAAAAATATGCCAAAAACATTTCATGAAAAAAACAGATACAATTTTGAAATTCTTCTACCCTTTCTCCAAGTAGGAATGAGGGTTAAGATGTTAACTTATCTTAAGGATTAACTACAGAATTGCCACCCTCAGATAATAAATTCACATTTTCGTTCATTACAGATATTTTTTTTAAAAAAAAAGAAACATAAGGGAGGTGGTAGCCTCAGATTATCTTTGTGAAAGCTTTCTATTAAGTCTCTTTCTTTTCCTTGTAGTATCTGACACTAATGACAACTCAGTTCATTAAGGTTAATCGTAAGGGATTGGAGACAAGGATTAATTTATTGCTTAAGCGTACACAGTAATTATTACTGATGTTAAGGAGGATATTTAATCATTAACATGCTTCCAGTGCATTATTGCTAATGGTACTGGCACCAAATTACCAGAATTGTATCTCAGGATTCATTAATATAATGGTTACCATTCTTTTTGTTGTTGTTTTATTCTGTATTGGGGGGGGTTCCTCTTTTTTTCCTCGAGAATATTTGGGAACCACAAATAAACACGCAAACTCAAAACACTCAGTGGCCTTTGGCTCAAGACTTCAAAATGCAAATGAGTAAAAAAATTGACGAGTCCAACAGAGTCTTAACAGGAGTATAAATTGGCCCAAGTGAACTGTTAGGAGTGCGAGTAACAATGCCTGTATTTTCACCTGAGATAGTAGTGTGGGTTTTGCTTGCCTGTTTGATACATATACATTCTTACTAATATGTGTGAACAAGGGACAAAGACACTGTGTGTGATGCTTCTGGCTAGCCAGATGGGTTTGTTAGTATAATAGGAACATATAAGAGCCTTTAAAGTGTTTCTGGGTATGTTGGGAGTATAATATACAAGCGCACACTTGAAGACTGCCTCCACTCCTATCTCAAGGCAAGGTCAAAGAACCAGTCGGGGGGGGGGGGGGGGCAAGGGGAGATTGAGGGAAAGGTGTAGGATTCATACAGGGTTCATGCGCTTGGCAACATTCAGGGCACAGCCGGAGTGTTGTGCTGGACCTGTGCACACACAGCTCCTTTCAAGGGCATCAACCTTGGAATCTCGCCCAGATGACATGAACTGTGGGAAGCCTCCCAGGACTGGGCTCAAGGCCCGAGAGCAAGGAATGCGGTAGATAGAAACTGGTAAATAAGAATGTTAAATAAAGCCAGTGTATTCCTTTTATCTGTTGGAGAATGTAATGTGTGAGGGGAGAGAAAGAATAAAGGGGAAGGTGGAAAGCTGACAGGGAGAAGCCTGTTAGCAGACCAGCCGTTTGCTTGCTAAAAGCTGTGTTCTGTCTTGTCATTGAACCTCCACAGAAAGGTAAAACACTAAAAGGACAGATAAAGGCCTTCCCCTGACCGTGGCACAACCTCACTCCTTACCCCGCCCATGGGGTACAAAAGAGGTGGGATGAAGACCCCAGATCCATGGCCCCCTAAAATGGAACATGACCATAAATTGTAAGGGGTGGGACTGTGGGCATGCATTTCAGGTATAATTATGCCTAAGGAGCAGGAGGATGGGACACAGAGAAACAAGGCTCTGTGGCATCAGAGTTATGGACACGATTGCTGGAAACTAACCCAAATAACATCGCATTCCCAGCACCCCAGACTGCTGATAGAAGCATAGAATATCAGGGCTGGAAGGGACCTCAGGAGGTCATCTAGTCCAACCCCCTGCTCAAAGCAAGACCAATCCCCAACTAAATCATCCCAGCCAGGGCTTTGTCAAGCCTGACCTTAAAAACTTCTAAGGAAGGAGATTCCACCACCTCCCTAGGTAACGCATTCCAGTGTTTCACCACCCTCCTAGTGAAAAAGTTTTTCCTAATATCCAACCTAACAACCTGCAACTTGATCTTCTAATTTCTGTCTGTGTGACAAGAACCAGGGGAGACAGTGAAGGGAAAGCCCTCTACCATGAACCTGGGCAGAATTCTGAGTTTCTAGTGAAACCCAAAACCATACCAGCAGGTTTCACATGAGACTAGCCACTGGTGCAGTTTTGCCAAGGGCTATGGGGGATTCGCCATCACTCCAAGTCTTTAAATCAAGATTGGATGCCTTTCTCCAGTTTAGCCACAAGACCTGGGCTTGGTGCTCCTGTGTTACTCAGGAGGTCAGATTAGATGATCAGAGTCACAGCCTTTATGAAACTTTAGGAACACTTTGCAAATCTTTGGTTACCGTGTAAAGTTGTAACTTTCCATTTGAGCAAACAGTGGATTAATACTTTGCCTACATAACCCACCTGACTTAGGCCATGTCACACTAAGTCATTCCCATTCTCTCCTCCTCTCCCCTTTGATGGCAGGGCTCACCTACTGTATCTGCCAGTGCTGCTGGCTTTCCCCCTCCTTCTGCTTAACCCCTTCCAATTGCGTCTGAGCTCCTCTCTGGAGTACTGGCCCCATTCTACTTCCCTTCTTCACTTTCTGCCTTTTTAGACTTCTTTCTAGTAACACAGTCCTGTCTCTCC